GGGGGGAGAGAGAGAGAGAGAGAGATGGGCAGCGTACTTGTTTCTTCGTGCCGCGCTCTGCGAACTGCCTGCAACTGACACTTCTCATGGTTGACTGTGTGCTAAAACAGTGGACAAGCTAGAAGAGATGATTGGCTCGTACGGTCCGCGCGCCGAGGCCTACGTGAAGCATTTCGCCAGCGAAGAGGCGCCTTCGGGCCTGCTGGCACGCTCGGGCACCAACACGGTGCGCACGCGCATCGTCGACGATGATGGCGCCGTGTATGCCGACTTGACGTGGAGCTTCAAGATTGCAAAGGACTGGTGACAAAGTCCCCCCCCTCTGCTTACCCTTCTCGCTCTGCGCTCTCTCTGCGCCGCCCATCATGCGCCCGTGCCCCCCAAAGCGAGCGCTGCTACGATCACCCTCTCAAGGCGACGACACACGCTAGCCCACGCGTCGGTCGTTCTGCTCTTCAAGCTGCCGACACACGCACACACACACACACACACAGTTCCCCTCGACGACTCCACTCCCCCCACTCCCTTCTCCCTCTCCTCTCTCGTCTCCCTAATCTCTCACGTTTCACGACCTCTTTCACTCTCAGTCCTCGTCTCATCCACTCGCGCCCCCTCGTCACTCCTCTACGATCCCTCATCCTACATCGATTGTCCCTCCTGACTTCGTGCGCCCGCTCATACGCTCGTTCCTTTGCGTTGCCGCTCTGCGTCGACGAATCACAGCCGAAAACGTGGACTGACTGACCGAGACTCAGACCGACCTGCGCCGAGCTCGAGTGCCAAGGCTGCAGACGAAGGCAGGTGGGGGGGGGTGGAGAAGTGGTGCGAGAAGGCAGGGCGCGCGCTCAGCGCTGCGACCTGCTCTTCCGCGAGGCTCGATTGCCGAGTCAGAGTAGGTAGCCACAAGACGCGAGAGAGGAGAGCAGGCTACGCGAAACATGATGGAGAGCGAGGGAGCACGCAGAGAAGGACCAGGGCTCGCGAGAAGAGAGAGAAAAGAGAGGGGGCCAAGAGCGCACGGCGCATGGTATGGTCGAGACAGGGAAAGGGGGAAAGACGCCAGGTCCTGAAGCGGTTCCAAGAGAGGGCGAGGCTCGTCGAGAGCGTATTTGAGCGCGGGCGTAGATTAGGCGAGAAGTGCGAGACGTATCTTGAGGGGCGCCGAGAAAGGACAGGGAGGCTCTCTAGGCCTCGCACTCCTCCTCGTCTTGCTCCTCTTCCTCCTCCTCCTCCGCGCACTCCTCGACGGGCTCGCTCTTGCCCTCCTTTCGCGCCTGCTTGATGATGTCGGCCGCTCGCTCGGCAATGGCGTACGCCGCCGACTGCGTGTGCGCCGAGAGCGAGACGGGAATGACGCTCGCATCGACGACGCGCAGGTTGGAGGTGCCGTAGACGCGCAGCCACTGGTCGACGACGCCGCCGAGGTGCTCCGCGAGCATGCTGCACGTCGACGTGGGGTGGTAGTTGGTCTCTGCCGTCTCACGCACGTACGAGATGAGCTCCTCGTAGCTCTCCGTAGCGACGGCCGCGCCAGGCGTCGTCTCGGACTCGAGGAGCTCGGCGAACTGAGACGTGGCGGCCGCACGCCGGGCAATCTTGATGCCCGCCACGAGCAGCTCCAGATCCGTCTCGTGGCCCAGGTAGCCGGCGTCGATGTGTGGCTGCTCGAACGCATCGGCAGAGTGGATGGAGACGTAGCCGCGCGAAAAGGGAGCTTGGGCCGCGCTGGAGAAGTGCATGCTCGAGTCCATGGTGCCGAGCAGCATCTCGAGCACCGGCTTGGCATGTCCCGAGAAGCCATGCTGCGACTCCTCGGCCAGCAGATCACGCAGCAGCAGGCGCACCTGCCGCTTGTAGCCGCGCTTCACCGCCGCCGGCATCTGGCTCGCCTCGGCGTACTTCTCCGAGGCGGCCTCGGCACGCTGCAGGAACGCCGCCGTGTCGTCGCCGAAGATGTCGCGCACAGTGAGGTAGGCGACTGCGCCGTCGACGTAGGAGTTGAGCTGCCGATCGTCGGGAGAGGAGTTGGAGGGCAGCGGCACGCCCTCCTTGACCTTGTAGGACGTCGAGACGGCGAGGTGGTCTTGCAGGTTGCGACCGACACCCGGAAGGTCGTACACGACATCAATGCCGTGCTTCTCGAGCAGCTCCTTGCGGCCCACACCGGAGAGCTGCAGCAGCTGGGCACTGCCGATGGCGCCTGCACTGAGGATGACCTCGCGCCGCGCTGTGACGCGCACGCGAGGCGCCTCCTTCGACGCGGCAAACTCGACGCCGAGCGCCCGACGCTGTCCCAGCGTCGTGTCGTCGTCGTCAAAGATGACCTTGGTGACGTGCTGGTTTGGCAGCACGACGAGATTCGCACGCTCGTCGCAGATCGGGTCGACGTAGGCACTGCGCGAGAAGCTGCGCTTCCACTCTGCCGTGTCAAGCGTACTTGCGGCCACGAATGCACCATGCGTCTGACCGTCGTACGGCGCAGCAGCAGCGCTGATGCCCATGCTGGCGAACGCCGGGCCCCACGCTGCGACGCTCGAGTAGCTGCGTGCAGGGTACGCGACGGCCAGAGGACCGGAGTGGCCGAGCGTCTCGTTGGCCTGAGCAGCGATTGCACCGTCCAGCTCGCGCACGGAGCTGCCCATGTACTCGGTGGCCTTGAGGTGTGCATCGCGCATCGCGTGCCAGCCCCAGTGCTCCGTGTCGTCCGAGGAGCCAGTGGCGAGGCGGGACCAGGCTTGGTGCTCGCGCTTGCTGGCCTGCGTGTAGTAGAGACCGTTGATGGCCGAGCTTCCGCCGAGGCTGAGAGACAAGAAGGGACAGCATCAGAGACAAGCCAAGATGCACGTTTCAGAAGCGCCACGTTTGCACACTCACGTCTTGCCGCGCGGCCAGCTCATCTCGCGCGCCGTGCCGGCCTGCAGTGTCGTCTTGTACTGCCAGTCGAGCTCCGAGCCGACGGACGAGTCAAAGTAGGCGGCGCTTGGCGTCTCGACGCGCGCTGCCTGAGCGCCATACGCAGAGTGGCCGGCCTCGATGACGGCGACGCTGACGGCTGCGTCTTCGCTGAGCCGACCGGCCAGGGCCAGCCCGGCCGTGCCGCCGCCGGCAATGACGTAGTCGAAGACGCGCTCGCCCACTTGAGACCAGGAGGTGGCGATGCACTTGCCTGCAGTGCCGCGAGCCTCGAAGTGAGGGTGGTGGCCGTTGCGCACGGCCCGACGCTCCAGCGACGCAGAGACCAGAGGCAGCACGGCCACGACGACGGCGGAGAAGCGCAGCGCACTGAAGACCATCGTGTGCTGCGGTGTGAGGCGAGCTGAAATGAGGCAAGCGTCAGTCGCAGGTGGCGATGAGAGGCGGGCAAGGCAGACTACTCACGGACGAGAAGAGAGAGAGAACAGAAATACAGAGCACGCTCGGAGCACGCGGTGGGCCGAGTGAGTGACGAGGCGGCGAGGCAGGCGCGAGACGCGAGAGACAGAGTGAGGGCGCGGATGCAGAGAAGTTGAGAGTGTGTGTTGTGCGTGGGGCCAGGGAATGTGTGGGTCGCCAGGAGCGAGGCGAGGCGAGAACGACGACGACGACGACGACACGTGTGGAGTGTGAGTTGGAGAGAGGGAGAAGGCCTGTCGAAGGCGGTGCGTAGATGGAGAGCGAGAGCGGAAACGTGGAGGAGCGCAAGGGAGAGCGGGGAGTCGTGGAGGAGAAGAGAAGAGGGACGTGGGATGCGCTGTGCTGTGCAACACGGCGCAGCGCGGCCAAGCCTGAGCTGACCGACGACGACAAGGCGCAGGCAGTGCCGAGGTGCGAGAACAAGGAGTCGCGAGAGGCGCCGCGCGCGGGCGTAGCGAGCCGCACAACGCGCACCCAGGCACGCGCCGAGTGTAAGACCTACGCCCCGGCAGCCGGCAGCGCCAGAAGGCGCAGCCCGCGCCGCCGCAGGCCGGCGTGCAGCAGCAGCCCGTTGCCTCGCAACGCGGCGCAGCGAGCAAGGCACCGGCGCAGCGCCACGGTACAGGCAAGCATCGGTGAGAGGGCTCATCTGCCCCCTAGGCCTCGTGCTCGCTGCGCCGCTCCATCACCGCGCGCCGCGCGCCGGAGGGCAAGGCACCTCGCCCGTCGCTGCTCTTGCTCGCCACCATCACGGGTCCAGCGCCGCTCCTCGTGCGTGCCAAAGCTCCGCCGTCGGCGCGGCGGCGCGCATCGCGTCTCTCTCGCTGCATGCTGCTGAGCGGCTGCTGCCGCTGCCTCTGCACGCTCTCGCGCTAAGCAAGGGGCCGCATCGTGTGGCTACGCGCGCGCTGCCGGCATGCGAGCGCGCCGGGATGGACCATGGCAGCAGCGCTGCTGCGTCCTGGCCTTCGCTGCGTCTGCTCGTGGCATGCCCTCTTGTCTTGGCAGGCATCCTCTGCAGCGCCCGCCGACGTGCGCCGGGGCGCGGGCCCAGCACCGTCCTGTGTGCCGTCCTGCGGCCTGCGGCTCCTCTGCGCAAGCGCAAGGCGGGAGACAGATCGGCGAGCTTTGACGTGCAGCGCGGCCAGCCTCCGCCCAAAGCAAGCTCGTGTGGGCGAAGATCAAGAGCATGCGGCGTCTGATGATGCTCAACTGCGCCCCCCGCACTCTTTTCCTCTTGGGCTCATCATCCCAGGCCACGTGTTGCTTGCTTCTCTAGAAGCTTCTTCTTGCGCCCCCACGAGGATGACTGTGGGCGTGTGAAGGGGCTTGGGCTGATGGGCGAAGGCTGCATCGATTTCATCTCGCGCCGCGCAGGCGGCAGCAGCAGGAGCACGGCGCGCGCCTGCCAAGCGTGCCTGCGCAAGCGGGCTCGAGCGGTCTGGGGGTGAGCGAGGGAGCGCCAAGGGCTTTTTTTTCCTGGAGGCGTGCTGTGAGGCCTGCGGACTGCAAACTTGCGACGGCACGGCTGCGGGGTATGGTGCGCTGCAGCCCGCTCTGGCATCGAACCCACACTGCTCGACCAAGAGGGGCAGAAGGGGCAGCGTGCCCCCGAGGTGGGAACAGCGTGGTCGGTTTGCGAGGCAGGGCTGCGTGCTCGCGACGGAGAAGGAGGGTTGCAGCAGGGTGTGGCGAAGCTCGCGCCAACCGTGCAAGCCAGAGGAGGGGCTTGCGTTGGAACGCTCTCTCGCTCTTGGCCCCTCTTTCGCCGCAGCGGCAGGCCCCGTGGCCGAGCGGCAGGACGAAGCGGATGCACAGCCAGCTGGTGCGCTTGCAACTGTGGTGGCGTGTGAGAATCAGCTTCGAGATGCGTACATTCGACGTCCCTCCGACGTCTCTCGACAGACGACGAGTCTGTCTGATCACGAGTGACAGCTTATGCAGTGCGGGCGGTAGCGAGGTGACAAAGCATAGAAAGACCGAGTGGGCTGAGGGGGGCGCAAAGATGCGGCGCTCTTCTGAGAGCAGAGGCAGAAAACAGAAGCGAGGCTCTGAGTTGCGACGAAGATCTCTCAGCGCCAGGCGACAGAGGCAGAGCTGAGCTGCTGCAGGAAGCCCTCGAGCTTCGTATTCGTCTGTTCATGTACAAGAAAGAGCGCATCAGATCTTCTCTCTGTCATCCTTCTTGCATCTCCTCACAGCAAACGCCAGTCTCTACTCACCTCAACCTTTTCCTTTCTCTCCTTCTCGGCCTTCTCCAGCTCCTCCGCCTCGCGCTGCAAGCGCAGCAGCTCCATTCGCTGTTCCCACACTTGCGTGCGCAGCGTGCGCTTGCGCTTGCGCGCCGCGGCCAGGTGCAGCAAGAGCGTGGCACGCTCAGAGGCGCGCTGCGAAAGCGCCGTGAAGAGGATGCGGGCGGAACGCCGGACTTCGGTCAGCGCTCGCGCGAGGGGAGCTAGAGGCTGTGATTCGCTGAGAAAAAAGAGTGTGTGTGTGCGTCAGCGCAGACGTACGTCAGGACATGCCAAACGAGAAGTCGTCAACATCGATCG